CTTTGTCGCATGTCATTGACCACAGTTTACCACAATGCAACAGCTCCCCTCTCACTTCCTCCCCATAGTTACCTCTTCCCAGTGCCATCCCTCCATACTCTCCTGCCCCCTGAGCTGTCTCCCTGTGCATAAGCAGCCCTTCCTTCTCTCATGATTGTTCTCTCCAGGGCGTGTGTCTGCTTGAGGTAAATGTTTAACTCACGTGCCTGCCACACAGTCTTTTTCAGGTACTTCTCTCTGTTGCAAGTATTCAACTCTGCTAGTATAGCTGAACAACATAGGCTATACGTAAACAAATGACTGTGACTGTGTTCTAATAAAACTTTATTTATAAATGGCAGCAGTAATACTTTCTGAAATTAGAATTGACTTGGAAGAGTATTCGTTTTAGAACAGCTAAAACGTTTGAGTCTTGGCTGTACAGCTCAGTAACGTTGAGTTCTGGGAAGTATTTATACAATGAACATTTTAATATGGAGTTGAGGATTTAAATCTGATAATGGACACCAGATACCTAGCACGTAACAGGATCTTTCCTGGGCATGTGTACATATATCTGTCATAATTCTTACCATGTTATATGGAGATTTGCTCTATATTTGTCTCCCTCTATCAGAACTGTAAGCACAGTGATGTCAGGGAATATGTGTTAATCAGAATAAGGAGAAGTGAAAGGAGGCTAGACCCTTCCAGAACAGCCTGAGAAACAACCAGACAGCTTCCGAGGCGCTGATAGGTAGTGGCACTAAGTGCTGCTTATGGATTGATAGGTGATGAGGCTGTTGATAAGAGGCAAGGTGAGGAGGACTTTGGAAAGTGGATAGTTGGAGGAAGTTATTTGAAGCAAGCTTTAGCAAAGGTCACCTAATATGTTCTGTGAGGAAATCATTTCAAGAGAGTGAATAAGACAGAAGGTTGATTGCATTATAAGATGATAAGGAAATGGAGAGACATGTGTGACATGTTTCAGAATTCTTGGCAGTCAAAGGAACATAGTAGAGAGAACCACAGGGTCAGGTAGGAGCTCCTTCATGGTAGTTCAGTTCTTTCTTTTTCTTTTGGTGTGTGTGACTGTTGAACTCTGAATGTGATTCTTGTACTTTGACCATGTGTTTGGCTCTGGTACAGTGTTTCCAGAGTTACATTATAAAGCTGAGGAGCTCTAGTGGTTCAGTGCCTAAGGCAATTGACTGTTAACCTGAAGGGTGGCAGTTCAAACCCACCTGCCACTCCATGGAAGGAAGATAGAACAATGTACTTCCATAAAGATTTACCACCTCACAAACCTAATGGGGGTCACTATGAGTCAGAATTGACTCAATGGCAGTGAGTTTGGTTTTTTGATATTATGAAGCTGTGTACATTAGACATTTTATTTCATGTTAATTATTGAGAATTAAGTATTTTAAATACAGGGGAATCCTCTGGATGTATGTTCACTTTGTCTTTAAAGTGTTTGTCTTTGCTATAATTGCTCCCTTGAGCAACTGGAAGTACTAGTATTTACTGAATCCTCCGCACATTGCTTCAGTGTGCCATCCGTGTGGGGATGCTGTGCTGCTCTGCCCAGTGTGAAGCGGCTCTCATGGACTACTCAAGCAGCACTGGAGCTCTGGTAGTGTAGTGCCTAAGACTTGACTGCTAACCAGAAGGCTGGTGGTTCAAACCGACCAGCCACTCCTCAGAAGGAAGGAAGATGGGGCAATCTACTTCCGTAGTGATACTGCCTCGGAAACCCAAGGAGGGGTCAGAAACCCAAGGAGGGGTCGCTGTGAGTCGGGGGCAACTCAGTGGCATATAACAACAACAAATGAGTCCTTAAAGTACTTTTGAGCATGACCTTTGTAAATAGATCTCCAGCTTTGCATTCATTTAGACTGAGTCCCTGGGTAGTACAAACAGTTAAGTGCTCAGCTACTAATGGAAAGGTTGACTTGGAAGAAGAGGTCACAAACATGAAAACCCCATGGAGGGCAGTTCTACTCTGCAACGTAAGGGGCTCTCTATGAGTCAGAATCAACTCAATGGCAACTGGTAACTGTAAATGCTGTAATAAGTTCTGAATCTAACTCATTAGAAATTGCTTTTCTGTTGTGGAAGGAAGGACAGATTACTTTTTATTTGAACTCTTTCATAGACTTTGTTGTTTTTATGTGACGTCGAGTTGGACCCGACTCAGCGATCCCTCCTTGGGTTTCCGAGGCAGTATCACTACGGAAGTAGATTGCCCCATTTTCCTTCCGAGGAGTGGCTGGTGGGTTTGAACCGCCAGCCTTCTGGTTAGCAGTCAAGTGCCTTAGGCACTACATTACCAGAGCTCCAAACTTTAGTAGAAATGTTTTTGCATGAGTTGGAATTAACTTGACGGCACACGACAACAACAACAGTGCTCATGATTTACTTTTTTCTGTCCTTAGCCTCTTTTTGTCACCCTTGTTTTTCCCCCACCAAATTACAGTATATCATGTAATTGCTTTTTCATTCCTGTGCTTTCTTTTCAGCTCTTTGCCTTCCTACCTAAACATCAGTTATGAGGACTTTTTCTCTGCTCTTCGTCAATATGCAGCCTGTGAACAGCGTCTGGGAAAATAGTAATCCCTAGTTGCGTCATTTGATTTCAGGCTTTTGGAGAAAAGGACACAAATGACTCTGATGTTTACAAAGCACCTATGAAACCCTATATACACCCAGTCCATAATCCTAATTTATCAACAAACACAAAAAAGTGTCTTACTTGAGAGTGAATGAGTGTGTCCACATGCACACGTGAGTGCGTGTATGAGAATTAATGTATAAATGAGGGAAGTACTGGAGAAGGAAGTACATAGTCCTGCAACTTTGAACAAATAGCAGTAATGTTTAGGATTTGAAATTTCAAACTTAAAGGCTTCAGCTCCAACTACTTCCCTGTTTTTGTGGGGAGAGGATGGGGTGATTAGTTTTGGTTGTTGTGTTGTGGGGAGGGGAATAATTTCTGTTTAGTCTTTCTTAGTGACCAAACTTTAATTTTTAAGCATAATATATTGACTATTATTGGAAGCATAATGAGTATCAGGACTCTCCAAAGGAATGGAGTTCTTTGCTGCTCACATGTTAAAAACTTTGGAGCAGAGGGAATACCTATCTTCAGATATCCGTCCATTTTCATTTCTTATTTCATTATGGTCAAATGATGTGACTTGGAAGTATTGCTCTGATGTCTGTATTCTGAGTTGTGAATATAATTTTTAAAGAGAGTTCTTACTACACTGAAATTCATAATTAAAAAAGATTGAAGTACTGAGTTTGGCAGTCAAAATGGTGAATAGCTGTAATTTTAAAAGGGTGGGATATTTGCTAAAATGGGAACGAAAGTTTTGATTTCCTGTTTTGTTTTGTTGGTGGGCAATGTGCTAGATAGTACCCAAAGATGATTTAAAATATGTCTTCATTTACTATTTTTAGTTAAAATCAGCATGTAATGAAGTTACCAAGGCAGCTCTTTTCCTCAGAAGTGATCTGTTCCTCTTTGGAATAGCAAAATAGGTTTTTAGGGCCATGTTAATACCTGGGATTTTAACTCAGTAAATCCTGATGATGATTTTGCATAAAAGTTCTTTAAATAGGATTGAGGCTTGTATAGGGACTAAAATATTATCAAAGTCTACAAAAATAAGTTAATTTTACGTGTTCTCTTTTATGATAGAGAACAAATACTGTTTCTGTTACCTTTTAAATCAATGAATGATTTTTTGATGGGTATTTAATATTTCTTCCCTCACTGCTGATCCTTGCACAGAAACCGTTCTTTATATTTGATGGACTATTTTAAGAAAACCCTCTTATTGACAAGCGTACAATAGTTGTTAACTTGTCAATTTAAAATGGAATAGTTTAAATTCTAGGTCTCAGAAGTCTGCAGAAGAGCCGAAGGAAGACTGGATTTGGAAAATACGATCTGGAATCTTGTCAAATTCTGAAGCTAAGAGGAATAAATATGTTTTGACTTTGGATTACAAAACTCCATTTATGATTTTCAAAATATACTTGAAATAAAAATAATCAAATTAAATTTTGGTCCAGTGACATTACTTTGCATTCAATCCTTTCATAGTCCTTTGTACATTATAAGACTTTTTTACAAAAAATCTTAATTTTTTGCTAAATATTTTGTGTAAAGGTACAGCATATCTCTAAACTTTACCAGTGAATTTTCAGTTTGTTTCCCTGTACTGTGATCCATGTTCTGTTGAGGTTTTTTTGCCTTAATATAAGACTGAATTTATGCCTCTTAAAAATATGGTAAATATGTCTTCTAAATATTCTGGAGTATGTATGACTTTAATGAATTAAATTCAACAGGCCTTACTGAAGTAAAGGGATTCAATATTTATTAAAAATGAAGTTAGTGAAATAAATGACACACTAGGATATAACCCAAGTTGCTAAAGGTTTAATAGTTGAGTCTTTGTAGTTTAATTTTCTCCTGTTTTATAATAATGTAGTGTTATACATCAAAATAAATCTATAAGCTCTGGCCTGAGCATATTATATTCTTAGAAAGAGACTCTTAAAACAAGTCACTAAGGGTTCTGAATTCAGGTATAGGCAATCCAGTTCTTCTCAATAGCTCACCTGCTGGTACAATCTCCCCAGCATTAATGGTGTGCATCGTTAATGCTTGTCTGTCTAATTCCTACTTGACTCATCACAAGTTACGCATCATCGGGGCTCTCTGCACCCTCAAGAAAAATGGATCACTTTAAAGAAAAGTGTTGTTAGTCTTCATGTGTATTGAAAATTACTGTCTTTAAATTGTTTCTTCTTGATACTGACCACAATGGAAAAATTACCAAATTAAAATACAGTCAGTCCTCGGGTTACAAATGTCTGAGTTGCATACCCTGGAGTTATGAACCAACTCCTGGTAAAGCCTATTATATTAAAATTTGAGGTACATACAATGGTTCATAATAACAAATGGCTGGTACTTTGTAACACACATCAAAACATTATTATTACTGTATTATGTCAAAGATGTTTTCATTTATCTGGAAGTGTTTCTTTAATTTTTTTTAATGCATAGAAAGATACACTGTATACTGTATGCTGAGATATTTGACTAACTGACATTAGATAAAAACCATACCTAACTGTTCCAATTTACATACAAATTTGACTTAAAGACAGACAATTTAGGAACAGAACTCATTCTTAATCCGGGGACTGCCCGTAAACCTACTTTAATGGATGGCAGCTATTTGGAGGGTTTGAAATCCATTCCCCTGTCTGATTGTGTTTTATGTTTACCGATTCAAAGTTTGAAAGCTGGTTTTTGATGTGCATAGCAAATTCCAACATATTTGAACTATAAGGCTCGTGAATGCCTCTCTGAAAAGAAGGTGTTACAGTATCAATGAACAGTGCCAAATACACTGTGCATATCTACAATTTAATCTTTGAATGTATGTTACTTGATTAGCTCCCTCCTTTGTGTGTGATGGTACCATGCATAGAGTCAGTTAAATCCTTGTGATGTTTTGTATGAGTGTAGACATTGGCAACATGTAAATAATGTGTAAAGCAAGTTTTTATGATTAAGGAATCAAAGTTATTGACTTTTATTATTGAAAGTTGAAACTCAACATGTATGCACAAACAATAAAAGAATATGATCTTTCATGGACTATATAGTATTATGTGAATGCTACTTTATTCTAATGTAATGAGAAACTCATATGACTAGATAGCAGTACTGTTTTTTAAATGGTATGCTCTTGACTGAAGTAGATTCTCATTTTTACCAGATAAAACATATTTGAAATTTTGTCATTTGTTTTTTGCTAGATAATGATGGGAGAAAATTCAGCTTGGCCATTTTTAGAATTATCAAAATTCTGCAATATTTGAAATCTGAATTACTGCATATGGAATTGCCAAAAAACAAGTATATATATCCTTTTACAAAGGAATTTGAGTTTTTGTTGAACCAGGGAATAGAAAGATGTTAAGGCCTATGATTTGCCTTAGGCTGCATAGAGTATTCATTTTCTGAGGATGAAATGCTAAGAGAGTTTATGTTTTATGCATAATTTTCTAAAATTAAGCTTATCAAAGGTCACAATTTAATTCTGGTTAATAGGAAATAGCTTTAACAAATATGACCTAAAACCCAGAAAACAAGATAAGCATCCAAATTATCCCAGATCCTAGCTGATAGGCCATGAACTGTGATAAAATTGGTGGAAAAAGTAAGTGTAGTAATTTATTTAAGGTAAAAAAAGAAATACAATTCATTGTAGGAAAATTAAGTCAAAGAAGCAAAAAGACAGGAAAATCATTTCTAATACTATTACCCATTGATAACATTTTGGTATCAATTCTTTAAAAGTTCTTTTGTACTTATACTTAAAAATGGATCCTACTGTAAAAGGTTTAATAAAGAATTTTTTTTTAAAAAAAAAAAGTAGAATTAAGAGTCTTGCATTCTGTTTTGTATTTAGTTCTTGTGTCTGGTTTTTAACGCATCAGCATATGAAATTAAAATGTTTGGAAAAAAATTACAATCCACATCCGTTTATTCTTAATAAATGTTTAACTTTGGTTCAAATTCTCCAAGTAATTTTATACTCATCTCTCTTGCTTCCATCTCTCTTACAGAGATTCATTGACTAAATTAATTTTAGCATGACTCATCCAGATGATTACAGCAAATATCAATTAGATGTAATCCCAGTCCACACTATTTAAATCATCTGCTGTTGACCGTAGTACCTTCCATTGGTATGGATAATTTAAGTTGGTGCTGTGAGAACAAGAGAAATCCACTTGTTTCTTCTCTAAGATTGACTTAGAGAAGAAAAGCCTGAGCAAAATGGGAAAATTAGTGTATGGTAAGTGCTGATAGCGTAGTTGTATAGAGTAGTATTTCCATTGTGATGAAGATTGATTTCTACTACTGTGTCTTTCACGTATTTGGTTCTGTGGACCTGTCCTTATCAAATGTATTCTTTGCAGTGTTATCCTTAGTAAGAGCTGTACATAAGAACTGCATTAAATATCTTATTTTTACGTTTAACGGAGAAGTGTAAGGGTAATGGTAATAATAACCAGTTGCTTTCTTCACAGAGGAACCTGTATTGTAGGTACTCTGAAAGGAGTGCTGATGGAGTAGTGGTTAAAACATGGAGCTGCTAACCAGAAGCTGGGTGGTTCAAACCCACCAGCCACTCTGCAGGAGAAAGATGATGGCAGTCTGCTTCCATAAAAGTTTACAGCTTTGGAAGTGCTATGGGGCAGTTCTACTTTGTGGTTGTTGTTAATGTGCTGTCAAGTCGGACCCGATTCATAGCGACCCCTCCTTGGGTTTCTGAGGCAGTATCACTACGGAAGTAGATTGCCCATCTTCCTTCCAAGGAGTTGCTGGTGGGTTTGAACTGCCAGCCTTCTGGTTAGTGGTCAAGTGCCTTAGGCACTATGCTAACAGAGCTCCTGGCTTTGGTTTAGGAATCTGAAGAGAAAAAAAAAAATGGGACAGCAAGGAAAATGGGGAAGCTGTTTATCTGGAGATGTTTGATACGTCATGTATTCATCATTACGGTATCATACAGAATAGTTTGCCCTAAAAATCCCGTATGTGCTACCTGTTAATCCTTCTTCCTTTACCACCATCCCCTCAAGCCCATGCCAACTAGTGATCTTTTTACTGTTTATATAATTTGGCCTTTAACAGAATCTCATAATTGTTGGAAATTGCCTTTCCAGATTAGCTTCTTTTATATGCATTTAAAGTACTTCCATGCCTTCCTGGCTTAATAGCTTATTTCTTTTTTATCACTGGGAGATACTACATTGTATGGATCTAACAGTTGGTGTATACATTCACCTAGTGAAGGCCTCATAGTTGCTTCCAATATGTGGCAATTACGAGTAAAGATAAACAGTGCTGTGATTTTTATGTGGACATGGCTTCCAAGTTACAAGTAAATGCCTAGGAGTACAGTTGCTGTATCATGTAAAACTGTTTAGCTTTATAAGAAAGTACCAGTCAGTCTGTAAAAGTGACTGTACCATTTTACATTCCCACCAACAAAGATGAAAGTTTCTGATGCTTTGCATCCTCTCTAGGCTTTGGTGTTGGTGTTTTGGATTTTAACCATTCTGACAGGTGTGTAATGTTATCTGTTTCTTTGATTTGCAGTTCTCCAATGACATGAT